ACTGCTTCACGGCGGAAATAGGCGGGGTGGTGGTACCTACCCGTGCGGACTCACAAGACGTCCTACCACCAGTGAAAACCTTGTGCTTTATTTATTTACTTGCATTACCTTGCTCTAATTGAAAAATTTACTTCAAAAAGGGTGTTTTTACAGCATTAGTTAATGTTAAACAGTATTATTATATTGTTTTTAACAAATTTCAAACAATCCACCGGTCACCGTCCTCGTCGAACCCGTCGCTTGCGACGAAGGGCTCGACGAGCGAACTAACCCATAGACACAGTCCACTGAGTTTCTCGCCGGATCTTCTCAGTGGGTCGCGTTTCCGATCCGGTGGTAGATTCTGCGAAGCACGGCTCTTGCTAGGGTTAGCGTTAGCAACTCTCCGGTTGAGCCCCGCGAGCTTACCTACAAACGTTAGGGCGAAGCTGAAATAGCCTCTCAAGGCTATCAGCATAGGTAGGAAAAAAAAAAAACAATCCAAATTTTTTTTTTGGCTTTGGTGGATGGACAAGCTCACAGGCTACCTGGTGTAAAGTGGTTACTGGAGCCCATAGACATCTACAATGTAAATGCGCCAACCACCTTGAGATATAAGTTCTAAGGTCTCAGTATAATTACAACGGCTGCTCCACCCTTCGAACCGAAACGCATTACTGCTTCACGGCAGAAATAGGCAGGGTGGTGGTACCTATCCGCGCGGACTCACAAGAGGTCCTATCACCAGTAATTACGCAAATTATAATTCTGCGGGTTTGATTTCTATTAAACGATGTTATTCCTTCACCGTGGAAGTCAATCGTGAACATTTGTTGAGTACGTATTTCATTAGAAAAATTGGTACCCGCATGAGATTCGAACACCGGTTCATCGCTCAACACGAATGCACCGGACGTCTTATCCTTTAGGCTACGGCGACTTCAAAACCTCTTTTGCACCTCTTTATTTTTTTGAATACGTAAAGTGATATTCGCCTTGAAAGTCAATTACAATAGAAAGGCACTGGTTCGGGTCTTCTAAATTATCGGCCCTGTCTAAGTGCCCTTGCTTGACATCATTTATAAACATTTACGTAATGAACTAAAGTTGTTCGGTGTTCTAAGAATTTCAAGCTTTTGACGACTCGGGAGTCAATTCCTAGCAAGACAATCACGATTGCTGTTATTGAATTACAGTTTTATATGGAATTTTATTCGATATTGATTTATAACTGTAACAATGAGACCGTTGACTTGCGAATTATATACACACACGGTGATTTTGTCGCAAAAAATCGTAAACAGACGTAAGTCTGTCTTCTTTGAGTTTGTGCACGCCGATCGGTTTTTGGAAGTCTAATATTTGGATATATAGTTATGAGTTAGATAAAATTTCGGGTTAATATTCTGTATTTGTTTCATTGAAATCTGTTAATATAAAAGATCGCGTCACTTTGCATAGCTCGTTTGAAAATTATAAAATTACAATTTTGAGCTTGATTATTTAAAAAAAAAACTTCACAGACCAACAGGTTGGTTAAGAAATTACATTTGTTTGATGACGAAGGTCGGCGGTCAAAACGGATTATTTAGCTATATAATTTAAGTAATTACTTCTTTTATTCGTCCCACTTGTCACTTTGAAAGGTTTCTATGGAACATAATCGCTTTTAAATAAGGGTGATATTCAAGTTAGGGAGGCATTGAATTTAGGTTTTTTTTGTGCAGACAAGTGACCAGTACAAGATATCAAGATCCGCTTGTTCGAAATATCAAGAGCCTATTCGAAAGTAAGACCGAAAGAAGTAATTTACAGTGAAAGGCAAAAATATTCAAAATATCTATTAATTAGTGAGGTGAGTTATTTTTAATATCAATAGAAATCTTGGCACTTTTATAGTCAAGTTTATTTACTTCGTTCTGTTATATCCCTAACCTGTATAGACTAATGCTTACCAAACACCTTACTCATCATAAGCCCTCTCACAGTGATTTCATGAGAACATACCAGGCTCAGTTCGGGTCAGATATTCATTGAAGTGAGACGTTTACCAATTTTCCTCACTATTTCTAAATTCTTTTATTATAATTAATTATTCATTAAAAATATTGTGTCATCATCATTATCATTTCAGCTTATCGCCGTCCACTGCTGAACATAGGCCTCTCCAATAGATTTCCAGTGCGACCGGTTCATTGCCACCTGCATCCAACGAGACCCAGCGCTTTTTACTAGGTCTTCGGTCCATCTAGTAGGTGGCCGTCCCACACTGCGCTTGCCAGTACGTGGTCGCCACTCCAGGATCTTTCTGCCCCATCGACCGTCCTCTCTTCGTGCTATGTGGCCGGCCCATTGCCACTTCAGTTCACTAATTCTATTAATAAATATTGTGTAGTGTCGAATAAATCCTTTTTTAAAAAGAGTTCGGCCTTCTCACTACTAACAGTTCGATATCGAGCTTTGTATGTGGCTTAATTGTGTCATGCTCAGGGACCCACAGATACAACCCCCTGAGTTTCCCGTCGGATTTTCTCAGTGGGTCGCTATTCGATATCTGGTGGTAGAGGTGGTAGATTATTTTTTCTGCATGTTTAATATCTATGACGTGTTAACATTTAATCGTCCAAAAGTACATCAGCCTCTAGTTCTCGTAGTACAGGAAATCCTAGTTTGGGGGCAGTTGATAGTGCGTGACTTGTCGGTCGTTAAGGTATTAAGACAGAACAGTTCGTTGTCACATCTCTATTTTTCAACTTATTGGTATTTAGATTGAGCATGGTATTTAAATTGAACAATAAAAAATTAGGATAAAATTTTTCCCATACCTTCACCGGTAAAAAAATAAAAAAAAACAAAAGGTAAATATATATTAAATGAATTTGAATCTTGAGCCACTAGTTATTATGGTCGAATTTCGAGCGGTGAGTGAGCCCTAGTTATAATAAATAACCAGTGTTGCGAAATTCAATCATAGTAGAAAAAACGTTCGGTGCTATCGAATAAGCGCGCGAAGAATTTAATGAATTCACTTGAGTCATGCAAAACTGTTAAGATTTGAAGTGTTACGCTGCTACTTTTCTGTAAAAAAAAGTTCCTGACAAAATAGGTTCAAGGTGGAAAATAAATTAGTAGCAGAACTGTTTACCTTAAGTTATTTCAATTATCAAGAAATTTGCAGAGCATTGGAAGAATCCTTTTTTTTTTAATAATTGGCGAGACAACTTTCAATCACTAACATACGCGTATCGATGGTTCGTCGCTGGTTAGTTTTATTTTATCAAACAGATTTATAACAAAAAAAAAAAAATCCGTTTAGTCCGTTTACCGTCAAATATTGTACTTTTCGTAAACATATTTATTTGTAAACGCATAAGAGTTATGAATAATAGGGATATCTACGAATAATAAGAAAATGTTATATTAGAACACAGATAAGGGGGCTTCCACAGAGCTACCATGACTCACGCCATAACGACCTTAAGATGTAGAGATTTTATTTTGAAAACAAGTTCCGTTCTTTCACGGTGACTCACACGCATGTTTGAGATTTTTTTATAATATCTTTCTATTTATCTAAATATAATCTGTTTTGTAATTGTTGATGGAGATCGTTATGGTACAGGTAGATTATAAGGATCATAATATATTGTACTTAAAAAAAATATATTGTACTTAAAATTCACACACGCTGTTATTTAAATAAATAATAAATAAATATTTACTAACAATCACGCCACGTTAACTGGTCCCGTGATAAGTTCGTAAAGAACTTGTGTTACAGGTACCAGATAACGGAAATAAATGTAAGATTTTTATTATACACATACATATACTTAATATACATCCATAACCCTGGAAAAGACATTTNAGAACTTGTGTTACAGGTACCAGATAACGGAAATAAATGTAAGATTTTTATTATACACATACATATACTTAATATACATCCATAACCCTGGAAAAGACATTTATATTTATCATACAAATATCTTCCCTTGGCGGGATTCGAACCCGCGACCCCCTTGTGTAGTGACCATGTCACTTACCACTACACCAGACGGCCGTTAAATATGAAGATATTTAGATTTACTTGACTGTTTCAATTGAGTTCTGAGCAGTTTGCCGCGGTAAACATAAGTATTACTACAATGTCTTATTGGACTACTTCATAAGCCATTTTAATACGGTGAGTATTCTACAGCAAGCAATAGGTGCAGTTTTTTTTTGAAGGCTCCTTAGGTTTTTAGGGTCCCATAGACCTGAGTTCGAATCCTCAACGGGTAACCTACCCACGAAATCTAGACATTTGTTCGAGCTTCAAGGTCGAAATAGGATATGGGGCCACCTATCCGTGATGGCTAGGAGCATAAAAATATAAATAAAACTACTTACATCTCTTGCATATTGTTAAATATCTATTTAGAATCAATTGTCATTAATTAAGTTACCAGTCACTATATACGGAAATTAAAAAAAAAATCGTCCTTACAAAATAAAAATCGTTTAATAGTATCTATTGTTTACGAGGCGCAAACTATTCGCTATAAAACAAGAATCTCAGTGTGTACACACATAATTAACTTGATTTAATGTCGCAGTTACTGTCGACCGTAACTTCTAACCCTAATGACATTATGGTCGCAGGTCTATGACCTCAGCGGATTAATAAAAACGATTTCTTCCGACGAAAACGAGAGCTTTCGTAAAAAAGTAAACAGTACATAATTAATAGGTGAGTTAAGTTTTTTCTGAAGTATATTTTGTTTGCTTCAATAGTTGTAGTTCGTATAAAAAATAGTTAGTATTAAATTTTATTGTTAAGTAAAGAATTGATGTAAATGCATTGTAGCACTGTTGGTTCAAGTGACGAATATTGTATAGATCACCGCAACCCTCGAAAATTTCGCAATGGGGCGGGTGTGCACTGCAATGGGGAAAACAAGCGCGTGCAATTCACGAATTTCACGTAACACGTAGAACTTTTAACATTAACATAAAAATATTACATTATCCGTACATACCCCCGACGACGAAAGTGTTTTTCGAAAACAATATCGATCACATGTGTACGAAAAATCCACTTATGAAATAAAAAAATGACGAATCTGCACACAAGTATTTTTTTCTTACATTAATTTGAACTTTAAATAGTAATGTAACGGAAGTTTATTTAATTTTAAATATTTTGAATTTACTATATATTTTTAACACGAAGAACAACACCACTACCGTTCCGAAGCTAAACGAGACTGAAAGAAAGAACGGAATGATCGAAATAACGAATGAATGAAACCGAGCTTTTGCAACAGCTGCTCGATTGAGCTCACGCCCGATCCCGGTGCTTCGGAATATTGTTGAGCGGTACCTAGCTGAGTTTTGTACCAAACTAAACATTGGCGCATGTAGTGTTTTTATCTGTGGTTTATGCTCGTTCGGTTACTTGATTTTGAATGAACCAATGCATGGTTGTTTAGAGTGAACTTTGTCCAATCAATAGTCTTAATAACAGCGACATCTGTAGTCACCTTAGCGTTAGACAAACAATTACTTGTAATTTCTCCGCTGTGCGTCAATAGATGGCAATAATTAAAGAAATTCTTGAAATGAAGCAATACGTTATTGAATGTTTTGATCTTGACTTTAGGAAATATAAATTTAATATAATAAATTTTAATTTTCAGCCGCTACAAATTAAATAATCTTTAAAATTGCCATTCTGAAAGAAAAAAATGTCACCGTCAAGCAGAGTTGTGTCTCACTATTTTTATTTGGCGGGAATGCGAGGAGCGAAGCTATGTGATTTATTTAATTTTGAAAAATTAGTTCATTCGGCTTAAGCCTGTAATAATAATGATGTAATAATTTTTTAACATCCGTAAAAGTGCATAAAGATGAGACAATAAAGCGGTCGCTGGACGTAGCTTTTTGGATTTTTCCAAAAAGTCCACTAAAGTCTAAAGTAAGTAAATCGGTACAAATTTCCTGAGACTTTATTTCATCCTAATTATTAGTCTCAAATAAAGCATCTTCTCCTCATTTTCTCCGTATTCATATTCAAATAACAAGAAAATAAAAAACAAGGCTGTATGGTTTGATACCTTAACCTTTCTTGTTGGAAAATGGAACTAATACGGTTTTGTCACTGTTGTCAATGTCAGTACTATTCATAGATTTTATAAGGTCTATGTTTTTAGTCTTTCTTTAGTGCTGTTGTTGTATTACTGATCTGTGATTGTAGTTAGGAAGTTGTCCTCACTTTATTGTGTCACGTTCACTAAATTTTGGTTTAGTAGTGGGTTGTCGACGTTGTGGATGTCATATTTAAAGACGTCAAATATGGAGGAGGAACGTCTCTTTGACGAGAGAGTTTCTATTCGAGAGTCTGCTCGACCATTAAAAAAGTATGGAAGCACCTGCAACCACATGAAAAGGAACGAGGAATACATTAAACATGTTATGTCTAAAGGGGACACCTTGCAAGGGATCGCATTAAAATATGGTGTAACTGTATGTATCACTCTAAAAAGTTAATATTTCCCAAGATTCAGAGAGCGGGCAGTTGAAACTTTGTTGTATTTGTTTTAGATGGAGAAAATAAGAAGGGCCAATAGATTGTTCGCTACGGACAGTTTGTTTTTGAGAGAATATTTATTGATTCCGGTGACCAAAGATTCTCCTTTTTACGAAAATGGGGAACGCGTAACCGAGCTGCCTCCCCCGAATCATCGCGCCTCCATAGCAGGCATGCCAACTAGAAACAGCTTTTCACCTGGAAGCCCCGATGAGAAGAAGAGTTTTGACGAATTCCTGAACAGAGTAGACTCATCATTGGCTGACATAAAGCGACATGTAGAAAAAACAAAAGAAAACAGTGAGTGAGTATCTCAACAGTATATTTTTAGTAGGCATAGACAAATATGAAAAAGATTATTTAAAAAAAGTTAAAGATGTTCAATATTTGAAGTGCATGCATGGATTAAAACAAGAGACTAAAGACAAAGAAAAATAGATTATATTTCGTGATTATAATTAATAGCTTATAAAAACTCCAATTAATTGTCAAAAGTATATGTCATTCCAATTCTTAGTTACATATTCTAGAGATCTAAAATTGCAGGTTATAAAAGCAAATACAGTTTGTACCTGGTAATAATGTTATATGTACATATACACAAGGCGCCTGATAACATTATTTGTTTTAGTATTTTATCTGTGCGCAGTTTACGTTGTTTTTATGTAACTTTGACCTTAATCTTTACTTATCTACTTTACAAGCTTTAAATAGGTCTTATTAAAAATACTGTTATCTTCTTTTGTTAATTGTAGAAAAAAGTGCATTGTGTGTAATGTCCTTAAATTTTAGGGACAATGTACACTAGGCTCTTTTGAACATACCACCCATGACCTTTCCACAAATTATTTGTCTAATGGTTCACAGAACTGAATGTAAATTATGCATTTTTTGCATAACTTATAGAAAGTAATTAAATAATCAGGGCAGAGATTACTTAAGTATGTTTAAAAGGAACCAGACATAAAAATTAAACCTATATATAAAAAGCAAAGAAACCTGTGTATTGTAAGATTGCTTTGCCTGAAATGGGAATTGATTTCACAAACATCACTCTAGCATTGAGGAGTCCTAATTACTACACCACTGAGTCATACGTAAGTGACTAATTTGGAAACTGTCACTATACCATATTTTAAAGACTTCTAATAAATATTACAACTAATTATTAATAAAATTATTAGTACATAGTGCATGAAAAGTGTGTGTATTACTCATTAAGTAAGAAAAGTATTAATATGTTGATTTTATATGGAAAACTTTCTTAAAAAGCAAGTTGTGCAAGTCTTAATTGTTTAAATGAATATGTGGGACAGATTTCACTGCGTCTATTGGCCATAAACTAGGATTCCATTCTAAATGAACCATAGTACTATCTAAAAATAACTTAAAAAATCTGTTTCATTTAGATACTGTGATACTGGTTTATAAATATGAAAACTGAAAACCATCTCAAACCATCCAAACCATTTCTATGTAAACAATCTGCTATTTTACATGTTCATGAGAGTTCTCATTTGGGCACCATCTTCTCCAGCAAGTTAGCAAGGTGCCCCTGGTTGTCTCTATTTTGGGTGGTGACTTTGTGTCATAAGGTCAATGTGTGGTAAGGAGGTGGTGAGCCTAAAGTATTGATAGAACGTTATGAAAATGTTTCCAAAATTGTATTTATATTTCAAAATGTAATTACAATAAATCTCAATAAACTAGGAGGCTTAATACTGTTTCCTTTTAAGCTGCTAAAGCACATCTACAAGCTGTCAGCATTCTGTCTTTGGGCAGTATAATCTTTGCCATTGGGAAATTTGTCATTGAAAAGTAGTGCAGCTTATGCTGTATCTATGCTTGATCAGAGAAATTGGGGAATAATACAGTAGATACATATTCCGTGCTACAATGGATGATCATTTTAGTCATATCATTCCTTGCGAGCAATAATAGTATAATAATAAATGTGAATATCTAATTTCCTTGTATGGTTACAATTAATTTCAAATCAAATACAAGTTAACATGTGACTGATAAGATAACATATTCCATAGTACATTCTCATGTTAATAGAAATGCTTACTTGGATGAAATATAAAACTTATACTATTTTATATCTATAATTTTCGAACTTTTAGATTATATTATAGTTAGTATTATCCATATTTTCAATGAACACCTAGGTGTTAGACTGTCTAGCTTACGAAAATTAAAAGTATGTTACGTAATCTATATATTAATATGTGAAGCAAAAACTTTGTACCCCTTTTTACGAAAATTGCGCAGATGGAGGAGTATGAAATTTCTCACACTTACAGAGAATATAGAGAAGTAATATTTTTTTTAATTGTGCATACAAATACATTAAAAACACATACGTATAAATATACTCTTTGTATATTGTCAATTGTGAAACCTTTGTTATTCGTTAGAGAGTGGTCAAATTGAGAATAGATTAATATTGTTTGTCTTTAACATTATTTATTTATAGTAGTATTGTTTTGGCGAAATCTGTATTATTATAGAAGTATAATAGTACTTGACAATAGAGCCATAATAATGTTCAAACTTTTAATTTCAATTAATTATAGTCGAATTTCGACTACTGCAGGGACCACTAGTTATGTTAAATAAGCTACGTTTGGCCACATCAAACTTCTAGAACATTTTCTTTCTAGTCTTGGTAGCTTTGCTGTGATTGTTGGGGATTATTGACGATGATCAGGTGGGCCGCATTATTGGGATATGAAGTTAATGTTCCATTCGTGCAGCTGCTGTATCATTTAGATGTCATTACATAACTGTAGCAAGATAGAACCAGGCAGTATAGTAGGGCTATTGGTACAAATTGAGTTCTCCAATTTCATTATACGGTGTATGTTTTTATTAAGAAACATTCTTACTCGTTTCGTTTTTTATTTGAATTGCCATTTAACCAATAGACCACAAACTCTTCAAATACAGATTGTAGAGTGCTTCAAGCATTAGAATTTTCACGAGAACCGGTAACAGTTCACCAATAGACCAACATCAACCTATTTGTTTACATTGGGGAAAAATTTTTTTAGAATCTATTATAGTTTTAATATGTTTAAGAAAATTTGTTTCCATAGTTTTTCACATGGTTATGAGAAGATTTAACAAATGGGGATGCTCCTTATCAGTCAAATTTTATGCCATGTCGATTGAGATTAATGTTCCCAACAAAAACTCTTATAATATTAACAAATCATGAACACAAAATTACACTAAATGCTTTTGTAATAAATTAATTACAGAAATTTTTACGAACAGAATTATTACAGGATTAGCCTGACTGTGTAATTTCTTTTGTTTACATCTATAAAAACATAAAAATCCTTTTAAAGCAAATAATGAGCATGCAAACAAAAAAATTGACAGAACGTTTTTACGGTCGTCTTGTGATTAAGCGTCATACAAGGTCGAGGCGACCATTCTGACTCTTTCTAATTCCGTGTCACATGACCAAGCGTTTTACATACGGTGTCCAATAGTGACCGCAACGGTACCTGTTCTCTGGTAACTGATGACACTAATCTAAGAAATCTTATATGTATTAGTTTTTGTTCGATCCCCGATGCTTCTCCAGATAAATCCTTTTTCTGGTCTGAAGAGAATACTTCGGATTATCTGCCTCCTTGCTTTTGCTTGCGTTGTCTTTGGACTGTCGTCCATTTTAATGCACGAAAGTGAGACTGGCGCCGTCACGAGGCAGCGTATTAACGTCAAGCCATGATGCTCAACCCACTGAGTTTCTCGCCGGATCTTCTCAGTGTCGCGTTTCCGATCCGGTGGTAGATTCTGCGAAGCACGGCTCTTGCTAGGGTTCGTGTTAGCAACGTCGTCAGGTTTAAGCCCCGTGAGCTCACCTACTAGTTAAGGTTACGCTGAAATAGCCTCTCAGGGCTCTCAGCTTAGGTAGGAAAAAGAAAAGAAAAAAAAGCAAGCTGAACGTATGCAACATAATAAAAATGTGTAGAGATAATGTAATAAGTCACAAGACTATCCACTTGTGTTAACAAAAAGAAAAGATGACTGGTATGATTTCATTTGTTTGTTTTATACAAAGTCATACATTTCGCTTGCGCTGTGTAAAAAAAGTCGTTGCGAAGGAGGAAAGCTATTGATGTGGTTTTTTTCTGAAGAAAAAAACTAATATAACTAATTGAATGCCACCGATATAAGAAAGTAAAGACAAGCAGGATTTTCAGTTTTGTTGTGTAACGGCTGATCAATGACGCATGCCTACTTCTAGGCAGAAATAGGCTGGGTGGTAGCATTAGTACATGCGATCTCGCTACCCGGTACCGGTAATTAGGCAATAAAGCGCGTTAAAGGTTCACGATATTAACAGTTCTTACATTAGTAATTCAGATAAGAGAATACAAATTGGGGGAGACTTAGGCACTACTACCTAAGGATTCTATTATTACGGACGAATAGGGGAGTAGTAGTTCAGAGAGGTCGGTCACATACCTCTATCGTGGTAAATAGCCAGATAGATTATTATCACGCAAGATCATCTGGCATTGATATTGCAATCTGTGCATGTTAATGGTCCTTACCCTATACTACATATCTATGTTCAAATTTACTTGAGTTCTGTTAACAATCATAGCAGCAATGAAAATAATACCTTAACCCCTTGGCTTAAGTGTTGTATCTCGCGAAAGCAAACTGTCGTTTATAGGGTCGTGACTTGCGGCATATTCCGCACTGTGACGTTCGTTCGCTAAAAATAATGTCCTTTGTGTGTCTTGATGGTTTATTCCGGCCCGAGAAATTGAAATTTTCTAGTGCAGCATTTGTACAATGACAAAATCAATCGTGTTGATGTATTAAACCGTTTTGCAAATGCATTTGGTATTCCAATCTTATAATTCTAGGTATCGTCTTATCGCTTTTGGGCCCAACGTGTGAATCATGAGTTTATTCGCACTATTTTGTCAGAAACTATATCCCGTTTAATTTGCAGCAGATTCCGAATAGGCTAATCATGAAGCCGAAGACGCAAAGTCAAGAAGTGGCAATGAACTTGATTCTAAGTAATCGAACACACACACATTAAAGGGAGCGTTAACCTTTTGTCCAGACATTCAATAACATTATTTTGATGCATTATTTAGATTTGTTATCTGATTTTGAGTAAGTTTATGTCTGAAAGATAAATTTTATCTTTAACTTTTTCACTGCTGACACCGTGTGTAACGATCTCTGTCATTTTCGCACAAGCTATAGGATTTCGTTTGATTTATTTCGGCTATTTTAGTTTGTTACATAGTACACCGGTAATTA